AGATGTGTATAAGAGCCAGGTACAACACCCCCCACCCCCGCCACTGCACCACTAAATCAAAAAAGAATAATTCATCTCTATACATAAATGTAATATCTCTTAACTAATTTGAATATTCCATAATATCAAGTGCAGCCACAGGATTCCCAAAAGTATTGAAATACACTACTTGCACTGTATCTATAATCATCACATTATCATCTGTCATCTTCATCCTCATTATCATAATGTTTGAAAATCATATCTAATTTTCATATTCAATTTATGCATGAACCTTGTGATTTAATATACAAAGATGAAGCCTTTAAGAAAGACAGTACACACGTGTGGAAGTGTGTCGCAGCGTGTAAGGCGTTATACTTTCAATCGGAAAAGTCACGGATTTGAGGTCGAAGCTCATCACACTGCTTGTGTTCTTGGGCAAGACACTTTATCTACATTTGCCTCCCTTCACCCAGGAGTATAAATGAATTGTTTGGAATGAATTAATAGTGCTGATTACAGTCATGACTAGGAATACTCCCCAGGGAGCTGAGGAGGTTGCACGTTGTGTATGATTGATTCCGTATCCCAACCAGGGCAAAAAACGCTATGACAGTGGCGAAGACCGCTATATAAATGCTAAAATAAAAAATATAAATTTCAGCCCTTACGCTGAAACACAAGGAGAGCGGTAATGGAATAGAACCAGGGACTAAAGGATCTCAAATTTCAACCAACAAATTAACAAAAGTGTGACCCTTTTACATTAAACCCAACAGAAATAATGCATCCATTTTGGAAATAGTGCATACAACCATAACTTATAGTTCACCACACATTCATCAAACTATAACATTTAGTAATTGACACAAGTATTCGGGCACCAGCGTTTCTTGAAAAAGATAAAACCGATCGATCATTGTAAAGACATTTTGGATCAGACACAGAGATATTATAATTACAACATCTATATAGATACAACCATGATCGAGCTGCGACAGATCTCCATTGCCTTTGATTTGCCCAAAGGCTATTTATATTACCATGCAGATTTGCAGAGGATAGTAACCATCGCAAGCCATAACACTCAAACACAGTTTTTGCTGTCCGAATTTGCCTTAGACATAGAAAAATTTCCTTGTTCCTTTAAATTGTCCTTAAAGATAGTTTGAGCTTCATACACAAATTCCGACTCCCTACTGCATTTCGTCCTAACTGATTGGACACTCAATTTTTAGCTCTCTATGTTAGCTTTTAAGCCATAATACTCAGACACATCTAGCTCCCTAGGTTTTAAATGATAAGCATGTTTAGACAGAAATTATAGTTTCCTAGACTGGCTTATAATGGTAATTGTCTTAATATAACAGAATTCTGGCTCGTTATATTCAGGCTTTCTTCAAAACACTTGGATATAATTCCTGTTCTTGCCTTAATGGTATGCTTAGCATTTAACCTTTGAATGAAAGTTTTGGCTACCTGTTTTTGAGTTTCTGTAAGTCTAAGAGTCAGACTTTGAAACTGTTCGATTTCACCTCATTCAGACATCCTTTGGGGGCTTGTCAATGATTAGCAGTTTTATTATGCTAGCACATAAAGGAACAACTGATGCAAAACTGAGTAACGAAAACCAAATAAATTCAGTTAGAATTGTGATCTAGCCTGGCAGTCCCTTGCTCAGATGAATTTTGTGATTAGTAATTAAATTTCATCTCGACTAATTATAGCTCTGTGTGAAGTTGCATTCAACCTGCATACATAATAACATTATTAGCAAGTTCTTTATGCGGCAATATTAATAAGACCAGTCTCAATGTCTATGTAGCATATAAGAAGATCTTAAAGAATTAATTCCTTCACAGGCTTGAATAAATTAACTTCTTCAAATATTAATGATATTATTAATAAATAAATTATCGTTGGTCAAAACTAGGGTGTGGAAAATGACAAGAAATTATAAAGTATAGAATCATTTGCAATGCAGAACTTAAGCTATCATGTTGAGGATTCAACACTTTAGTGACAGCCACACATTTCCAAGGAAGCACTGGTATGTTCAGTAATTATTTATGAAATATGTTGTCTCCAGCCAAAGGATGTGTGCTATTGGATGTTAGACCACGAAAGTCTAGTAGAAGACTTATTTCCAGTGGGGTCCTTCTGGAGGTGATTGGGCAGTATACTGGGGGAAACAATCCCCTACATTTTCCCGACGAGTGTAACTGCGTTCTTTAACGTGCACATGGGTCATAAATGCACGTGGGACCAATAGCTTAAATGCTATTGTAACTTGTACGTATTTCAGCTCTCCAGCTGAAACACAAGGAGAGGTAGCAATGGGAATTGGGTCTGAGCCATGAAAAATGCCCTCCTTGCCCTCACGCTGGGACCACCACTGTTTGGGATACAGTATGCAGGCTCTGGCCCTGAATCATCAGTTTGATTACCAATCAAATAATATCTTATTACAAATACAATATTAAGGAGGTTTTTATATGTACTGTATGAAGAAAATTGATTTAAGGCAATTCAGTAAAATAACAATGGCATAATAACAACAATAACATTAATAAACTATCAACAATCATTTAAAAAGTAAGTGTTAGCTATAAAGTGAATCAAATTAAGTTATATTGTACCATGTGCAAATCTACCTCTAAGACCAGTTACAGAATATGAATTAAGAGAATCTGTTTTCAGACTTATATAGACATTGATTTGAAGTGATTGCTAACATTATAAGGAAGGTCATTGAAAAGAAGAACGGCCATCTGAAAGTTTGAAAAATACAGTACGATCACCAGAATATGAAATTGGAACACCTGATGTATTTGATATATGAGTTTAAAGTAAGATAAGATGAACAGAATGGGTAATGATGAAGTAAGATGACAGATCTGGGAGAACTGCCATTTAATAACGATTATGATAATAAAGAAAATGAATGTGATAATTGGCTATAGAATAATAAAAATTATAATACATGATGATATTGATACTGATAATGATAATAACAATAATGAAAAATTATACTGATAATGTGATAATGGGTAATGAAAATGATAGCATAATAATGATGATACTGATATTGATAATGATAACAACAATTAATGAAAAATGATATTGGATAATGATATTATGATAATGTGATAATGGGAAATAATGAAAATGATAATATAATAATGATGATACTGATATTAATAATAATAACAATAATGAGAAATTATATTGATAATGATACTGATAATAATGATGATGATGATGATGATACTGATAATGATTTGTCAGTCTTAGCGCATCACTCTAAGGCTTCTATGCGCTTCTCATATTAATTACCCTGGTCGAACAAATATTCTGGCCTACAGGCAGTCTGGCCTATGAGGTCAGAGCTCTCTTTGATGAAGGTAAAGCAGCTAGAGGTTGAAATCATGGTTTTCACTTCAATGTTATCTTTTACCAAAAACACAAAATTGACCTTCAGATTTGAACCACCAATCTTTGATTCAAAGTCCAAGATTTACCACTATGTCACTATTTCTCCAAACATTTCAATCCTGTAAACATTTGTTCAGACTATCCAGTTTTATGCGACAAATACCCATAACCTGCCCATATTTGGGTGTGATATGACATCATTGTGCCCAAATATTGGTCTGATGCCCAAATATGGATGTGATATGACATCATGCTTCCCATATATGGGCAAATCACACAAATCTACCACATAAAACTTGATAATATAGATTATGGAAAATCTTGTTGGAACATCTGCCATTGAGAAGGCAGTGAATAAAAAAAACCTATGAGATTATAAAGCTCAAATATCAGCTGATAAGGTGATTCTTACAGATCAATATCAGTAGCTAACAAAACATCATGTCTATTTCTGCTTACTTATTCATCATTTATTCATACATAATTCTACAAGCATGTCAGATATGTCATCGGGTGTTGAACTGGACCAAATTTCACGTCTGCTAATAAAACCATACGACATATAGAAATAATTCCTACTATTTATTTTATCGAGAAAATATGAATTTCACAATCCTTCTGCAATCTGTATCAACTAAGAAATCCATTTTCATTTTATTATTATTATTATTATTATTACATGTTCTAGGAAAATGTAATTCTTATTGTTTCAGGTTACAATGTAAATCTATAAGGAAACTTAATAATATTTTCATTGCATTTCGAGGATTTGTATGATTACAACAAGTTTCGTCTTGCCTAGGATTGACAATAAAATCCATTCTTATATAATTCATCTCTCTTCATCATTGATTGACGTTCACAATAAAAAAGAATTAGTGTTTGATTCTAGCCAAATGGCCATGCCAGTTCGGACACTGATTCGCCCATTAGCAAATCGGCAAATACGCGTGAGTGGAATTCTAAATAAGAATACACAAGTCACGTAACTTAGCAAAAAGTGGCGCCACATTATTGAATACTTCCGCATATTTTTTCCCAAGGTGCTAGAGGCGAAATGCAGCCCATGTCGGCACATCAGAATTCACACACAACTATAATAGTTCTTCTATAAATACACAAACTATTATTATTATTTATTTTGCACGTACAAAACACAGGGTGAACATACTGGTAATTAATTTGTTTTCTTTACAATGAAAGACAATTATTCAAATACATCACTTTTGCTTACCTTCCACTTTTTCCTAGCAAAATTTTTCCTCATCTGTGCACTGACAGTAGAATGAATGTCCTTATCAAGAGCAGTGTTACCAGAAATCCTGCAAAAATGTAGATAAATGTTAAATCAAACAGGACAAAATGAGGATAATTGAAAATTCATATTAAATATAATTATCTCATATAGTAGGCCTATAAGGATGAATTACGATGATGATTATGATAAAGATGATTATGAACCTAATGATTAATGATGATGATCAAGATGATTGAGGATAATGATTTTAATGGGATTATTAAGATGATGATAATGATAATGACTGAAGATAATAGATTATGGTTGATGATAAAAGTAATAATGAAGGTAATAATGACGATGATAGTAATGATGATGCTAAAGATGATCGATGATAGGATGAAGATATGAAATGACAAATATAAAGATGATGATAATGATTATAATAAATTTATGCTTGATGATAATGAAGATGATTAATAATGATTAAGATGATAACTATGATTATGACAGGCTGGAGTACAGCCTGGTGGAAAGGTAGTTTTCATAATCTTTTAACGGACAGTATATGTACAAAAATACAAAGTGTTTTGTTTTTTAAAGCAAACACCAGCTTTAAATATTTTTGGGGAAAAAAAGAAATGCTGCCCTCATTCTTCAACAATCTAAATGAGGAACTGGAACTACAGAATCCAAAAAACTAAGACTTCTTTTTTGTCCACGACAGAGATTTCTTGTAGATCATTATATATATTGACGTCTACATTAAGCATTAACTATTAAATTACAATACATAACTATGTTAAGTGCTGTACGATGCATTAAAGAATATAAACTGACAAAGATTAACATATGGTAATGATGATGATGATGGTGGGTAATGAAACAGCTATACTGATAACAATAGTATTGTAATATTAAACAATCACAATGCAAATTAATATAAAAAAATATATAAAACCAAAAACAATAAATGTATCAATATAATTATATATGTCTCCAAATTAGTTTTTGACAATCCATTTAAAAAAAACTGAATACTTAGAGATATAAAAATAGGCTAATTGAACATTAAGATAATATACTTATTAGCTAATCCTATGTTTCTACTTTATTCATTTTCAGTATAAGTAAAGCAGAAGACATTTAGACAGAAGTTGATCAGTCCTGCAATATTTTCATCACATTAATGAAGCAGAAATGGATCTATTGGGAATAATAGATTAATGATCGTACCACACAAAATGCGTTATAATCAGAAATTCTAAATCCTTATTGTTAACAACATACAAAATTAATTTTGATATAATTTGATTACTTCAAAATAATTCTTCATGTGATAACTATCATGCATCTATGTCATTTGATCATCTATGATGTCACTATATGATGTGACAATCATCTATGTTTATTCTAATTATCTATAATGTCACTATATAACAGTATATGATGTGACAATTATTGTTCATGTAGGTCATGTGACTCTAAATATTATGTAGCAATTGCCAAGTACCTGGTCAAGTGACTGCTTATAACGTCACTAACAGTAAATGATGTGACAATTGCCATGCATCTAGGTTATGTGACCATCTATAATGTCTCTAATGATGTGATAATTACCATGCATCTAGGTCATGTGACTGTCTCTAATGTCAATAACAACAGTATTATGATGTGACAATTGCCATGCATCTATGTCATGTGACTATACATAATGTTACTGATTGTGATGAAGTACCTGGTCATGTGACTGGCTATATCACTTATAACATTATATGATGTGACAATTGCCATGCATCTTTGTCATGTGACCATCTATAATGTCTAATGATGTGACGATTGCCATGCACCTAGGCCATGTGACTGTCTATAATGTTAATAATAAACAGTATATGATCACAATTACCATGCATCTAGGTCATGTGACTATCTACAATGTCACTAATAACAGTATATGATGGAATAATTGCCATGCATATGTCATGTGACCATCTATGTCTCCAATGATGTGACGATTGCCATGCATTTAGGTCATGTGACTGTCTATGTTACTAATAACGATATGACGACAATCACCATGCATCTATGTCATGTGACTGACTATAATGTCACTAATAACAGTATACGATGTCACAAGTGCCATGCATCTATTTCATGTGACTATCTATAATGTTACTAACAGTATATAAAATTTCTGCTTATCAAAAGACCTATGATGTATTATATAAGAAGCTTACAGCTATTCAGGTATATCACATGACATTAAGTGAAAGAACTGCGAGATCTGTTCGCTATAATCTTTTAATTCAAACCGAACATGAGGTCAGGCTTATTGTGTATGAAGCATTTTTTTGCGGTAACTATAGATCCAATTTACTTTATCTCCTATGACAATGATGATGCAATATTGACGCACACACGGCAGTTACCAAAGACTTAGAAATAAATTTACATAAAGTAATGTACTTATTCTTTGAAATAGTAGGCTGAATATAAACAATAGCATAAAATAACATAAATAATATACTGGTAATGTTTGATCAATTTATTTATCATTTTTATGAAAATAATTATGAATTGGTTGACCAATTTATAGCAATTAAATTATGTAACATAGAAATAAATTTACATAAAGTAAAAATGTAATCATTTTTTGAAATAGTAGGTTGAATATAAACAGAATAAAAATAACATGAACATGATATAATGTTTAATCAATTTCTTTATCATTTTTTCGGAAAATAGAATTGGTTGACTAATTTATAGCAATGAAATTAAGTAACAGACATTTCTTAAATGTAATCATTTTTTAAATAGTAGGTTAAATATAAAAAATTAAAATGATATGAAAATAATATAATATTTAATCAATTTATGATTATAGTTTTTAATTGGGTGACCATTTAAATCTATCTTTAGAAAATATTAAATTATACAGGATTTAACAACTACCCACATATCATAACATACTTGCATTTATAATCATTACAATTCAAAACAAATTGTGATACCAACTGTATAAGAGATATAAATATATAATAACATAATATATAATATTATAATAGCAAGATATATTAGCAGCGATCTTTAATGAGGCTTCAAGGTTCTATAACACATGTTTTCATGGAAATGTCATAAGGCAACATTTAATTAACTATTAATTAACAGCGGAAGGTTAAAACAATAGTTTGCTTACCATGGATGATTTATACATTCGTCACACGTATAACGCTTGTTTGGGTCAATTTCCATAAGGTGTCTAATGAAATCTTTGGCTGATAAAAGAATAAAAATGGAAAAAAATTGAATATTGATATTTTTATAATAAAAGATATACTTAAAGCAATCTATAGCACACACATGTATGAACATAACTGACACAAACCTTTAGACATAACAAAGAAATAGGGAGAAATTTTGATACAATATATTATATATTTATGGCACAGACATAAAAAGCATACCATAAAAAAAAATGACTGCCTGTTAAAGTTGTGGCTACCGAGTGATAAAGAACAAAATAAACTGTTAATTTTTTAATTTTGTATCAATCAATCAATCAATTTATTTAATAACAATAATTATAGTCACATCAATAATGTTACATCTAGAAAAGGAATGTACCAGAATGAGACAATATTAAAAATTAAACCAAGAAATAACGTAAAACTAACCCGGGCCGAGGCAAAGTTCGCCAGCAATTTAAGGTGCAAGACGGGCCAGCACATTATTCACAGCTTGGCATAGCATTATGCGACATTATTCATAGTGCATAGTCGAATAAAAACCTATGAATGCAGGCTATGATAATCATGATCACTGTCTAGGCATCTAGTTATGTTCTTTATACTTGGATTAAAGAACCTTCAGATTGAGAATCGAATTCATCATTATTTGTCCAATAATAAGTAAAAATTATTCAATAAAAATTTATCAAGTATTATTATAGCAGTTATTTGCTGGGTAATATATACATGCAAAAAAAAATAGTTTAAATTACAAAGCATATCAATCCTAAGACATATCTAATTCTTAATTTTTAACATATCTGGAATTCTTTGTGGAAGAAATAAGGTTCTATGCCTGTATCTTTCTTTAACCTTTTATGAATAAGTCCACTACAAGTTATACCGCTGTTCATGTCTGTGATTTAAGCTAAAAAACTTTGATGTATGACAATTGTATAATTTTTTTATGAATGATATTAAGAGATTTTTTTGAATTTTTTTTTTTTCAATTGTAGATATTAAGCCATAATCAAGGGTTTTCATCAAAGTAATTAATGGTATATCAATTGTTTTGTGAATATATTGCAGGCAATAAAGTTGAATTATTACTAAATATGTTCTTAATTATTTTATATTTTTCTATATTTCATTATTTCAAAAACTACATCCAACAGCAATCAAATGCAAATAAGAGGATGCCTTAAAATTTGTTTACATCCCCAGCCCCAGCAAATCAGTCAAGTAAATTTATGCAAATGCAATAAACTGTTTTTATATTAGATAGCTTTGGTTCTTATTTTGTTTATGGATGCTCGATTGAATACAATTTAAATAAATTTTTTTTTTAAACCACAAGAACACATTCATATAGTTATTATAATGCTGGAAGGTGAGAGCTTCTTCACATTTATTCAATTATAGATTATTATTAGCACAGTGTACTTCCATTATTAAACTCTAACATGATTGAGGATACAGAGAACCGGACAAGAGTGCTCAAAATAGATTTGATAATACCGATATACAGTAACAATCAAAGGAAACGCTAAATATAGATCTTTCACTCAGTTCAAACACAAGTTCTCAGGTTTTCTCTGGAATCATTTCATACCCTTTTAATTCCAAATTTTGATACAAACATCCAATTGGATGTTTATAGGTATCAGAAAAACGTGAAAGACACAAAGGTTGACAGTAAGGCAACACTTTCTTAAACCTTGTTTCACGAACTTATTTTGTTAAAAATCATCAGAAGAGGGCGGAAAAAAAAAATATATAAAATTTTGTTTTCTTATTTAGCAAAATATTTATGCCATAAACATCCAGACAATAGAGAAAATAAAAATTATTTTTTTCCAAATTTTGATTTCCAATTGGATGCTTATAATTTAATTGTAATAATAATCATCTCTAATTGAATAAATTTGAAGAAGCTCTCACCTTCCAGCATTATAATAACTATATGAATGTGTTCTTGTGGTTTTAAAAAAAAATTTAAATTGTATTCAATCGACCATCCATAAACAAAATAAGAACTAAAGCTATCTAATATAAAACCAGTTTATTGCATTTGCATAAATTTCAATTTTTTTTGTGGTGGTGGGTGCACTATTTGGCCAAAATAAAATTTATATTTTCATTTGCAATCATCTTTATTGGCGGGTGATGGGTTTACTAAAGCTATAGAAAAACGTCTCACCTAATGAGATAACTTAAGTTCTTGTTGTCTACTATTCAAATTTATAATGAATAAAAAGCAAAAAAAACACATTCACTTAGTTTTAAGGACCTTTCAATCAAAAACACAGAATAAGAACATAGAATGAATTCATTCATCCACGAATAGCACCGCGTGAGATTTACGTTCTATTGTAAATAAAATTTGTTGTGATCAATGCAAAGACCGACGCACTTTAACTGGGTCAATCGTTTAATATAGTACAGTCCTCGTTCTGGCCTGAACATAGATTCGGCCGTCGACTGTTCCAGATTTCAGAAGAGAAAATGATGACATAATTATGTACTAAGTCATCGCAAATCGAAAGCACCCTATTATCATGTTGTGAAAATGAAAGGCAAGTTGAAAACAGAACCACACAACCTCAGTGCTTTCATCACGATATAGATTATTATTAGTACAGCATACTTCCATTATTAAACTCAAACATGAAAGAGGACTTGAAAAATCAGGCGAAAAGTGCAGAGTAGAATTACAGGAAATGCCAATTTTGATGCTGAGATACAGTAACAATCGTAAGATAATGCTTTTAGTCTTTCAACCACTTCAAATAAAATGTTTCTTAAGCCTGAAGTCATTAATTTTACATTCCAGTGTCTGATATTTAGTTTTAGAAGCGGTTTGGCGTAGCGGAAACAGTTTTAGTTCCCAATGTCGAAGTCTGGGTTTCAATCCCTTGGAGCACATTTTGCTTATGTCCTTGAGCAAGGCACTGTATCTGCATTGCTTCTCTCTACCCGGGAGTATAAATAGGTACCTGGTTGGGTTGCCTGCATGTGGACCCAAAGACCTGGGAAAAAGAAGCGCTTTTTATCTTCAAAGACGCTATATAAATGATCTAAATAGTATTAATAATAATAATAATAATAATAATAATAATAATAATAATAATAATAATAATAATTATAATAATAATCACAAAAAAAGTGCTTATTAGATAGCCATGCTATACACATAACATATATAAATTTATTTAAATGTACATATGATTTATATATAAGAATTTATGTTACATATATATTATTTTGATAAATATTAATATAGACTATATGTTAATATTTTTTTTTGTACACAAAAGAATAAATTCAAGTAAAGTCTGATCTCTGCTAGGGAGGTTTCTATGCTCTGCAAGGATCAATTGAATTTTGGTATTAAAATACTTTACCATATCTATTTAAACTTCAAATTGATTTAGGCCCAAAGCAAATATCTCAACCATATAAATACCTACCAGACTCAGAGATATCATCCCAGTATGGTGAATCAAATTCGTATTCTCCTTTCATAATCTGATTAAACAATTGACTGTCATCTTCATCGTAAAATGGTGGGTACCCACATAGTCTGAAAAATAATGACAATTGTACGTGAAACACGAGAGAAAATTGTCACGCCACAATGCACAATGTAATCAAGTTTCTCTATGCAGTGTTCGTTATCTAAAATTAATCTTAAATAATACAGCTTGTATGATAATAAGAACAAGTATGGAAATAGAAACTAATAACTAAAATGTATAAATATAATATACACATTCAATTATTGACTTAATAATCATGAGCAGAGTGGCAACATATTGGTATTGATATTTGTAATGGTGTACAATAGAAGAATAATTGTAATAGAAAGTGTATAAAATTGTAAAGATAATATCATCCAAACACTGTTGATTTCAAAAATTCTGTTATAGAAGTTCAGCAGTAGCATGAGTATTATGTAAATGTATGGTCCATGGGTGTAGACTGGGATTTGGAAAAAAGTTAGCTCCACTAAGTGGGTTAAAACTAAAAATAACCTTCAAGTTTTCATTGAAATAGGGATTTAGTTCCGTATTCTCTATTTTTGCACCCTCAAGGCCAAAAGCAAGCTACGCCAATGTGGTCCATTGTTGGACATGGCATATAATGCAGCATCCGAAGAACAAGAAATTTAGAGGAATATGTCTAACTCATTTACACATGCAAGTATGACATTGGCAAGCCTCAAACATTTTGCACCAAAGTTTAATCCTTTATGACTGTGTAAACTCGTCCTGGTATAGTATTAGCATAAGTTTTGGTATTGGTAGCTACAGCAATACAGTCATGGTTTAAAACAAGTTAAAAAGAAAAATTTTTATGAAGAAGATTTCACATAAACAAGTGGTAAATTAAAAATAGACAATGCTCAAACTTACAAAATATAGGATATTACACCTATTGACCAGACGTCTATCGCCTTCCCATAAGGCTTTTGCCTCAATACCTCTGGCGCTACGTAGCCTGGTGTACCGCATGCTGTTGACATGTCCCCAGATTCTTCCATCTTTGATAAGCCGAAATCACTGATCATAATTTTTGCATCTTCGTCGGCTGAGTAGTATAACAAATTTTCAGGCTAGGATGAAGATAAAGTAACAATTCAAAATATGGAAATGTTAGTGTAGTAGTAGTGAATTAGATTCTGGTTACAACTCTTATTGTGTATTTCGCTTCTGTCCTTGGGCAAGGCATAAAAATACATTATTTGTGCAGTTTTTAACATATCTAATTGTAAAATAATTGCTATTTTGAATTGAAAAGTATTTTTTGGGTCGGGCGTGAGAATTTCTGGATTGTTATCGGCATTATTAATTTTTAATTTTTTTTTTTGAGCAATGTTTGCTTTAAATTATTTTATGTTTGAATTGGTTTTATGGAAGTACAGTGTGAGTTGAAGAGACAGGCCCTTCAGTGATAGTAGTTTTTTAACAGCTTTTGTCTCTCCACAACTCCTCTGTTTCAATTTTGTATTTTTTAAAGTTTTTCCTGTTGAAAGGAATAAAACAGAAAAATAAAAAATATATTATATTATTTCATGACAAATATATCTGCAAAAACTTATATTCATCGATCGATCATACAAAAGAAAGTCCATACATTGTGAGACTGCTTATCACATAAAATTAATTTACGAATAAATAATGTATAACTGTATCATGTTTATATATCACATTTCTAGCCGTGTCGTTCAATGGATACAATCTCCTTTCTAAGATCACTCAGAATTAGCAACACTCTATTCAGAAGGAATGCAAGCTCTGTGATACTCCCGACTGTGAAAGATGACATCGTTAAGTACTACATAAACATGTGCATGTCCAAATATAGCGAGATGAGAAATCGAAGAATCTTTATCTATGTCTTCACTATCAACACAATCTCTGATAAAAACAGAGATATAATACACATCACTTCAAGTCACTGTCCTACGATTGCAAACGTTTGGTGGTCCTGCAGTGTGAACATTTACTGACAGGTTAACCAAAACATTTGCATAGTAACTGTACCTTCAGGTCTCGGTGCACAATCCCAAGATCGTGAACAAACTTGATTCCCTCGAGAATTTGACGGATTGCAAAACTGGCATCTTTTTCTGTGTAACTTCCTCTTTCGATAATACGATCGAAAAGCTCTCCTCCAGTCACTCTGGAAAAACAAATTTGTAAAAGTGATGTGTTATTTTTATACGAATGCCAAATTATTGAACTAGTATAAATGAGTCGGCAGCACTTTCTGAACTAAAAGTAAGTTATATTGCTCCCCTATATTTAGTTGTATTTTTTTGACTAATACGGCTACTCAACTATGAAAGGGTGTCAGTGAATGGTATTGGTTAGACAAATTGAGCAAATTTACATAAGTAAATTGTCATGAAAATACACTATTATAAAATATATTTTAAAAAATAAAAATTATATTGAAATATTGAATATCATATTTAAAGTGATGCTCTGGAAGAAAACAATTTTTTGATATGCAGTACAAAACTTATTTTTGTAAGTCACAAAAAGCATATTTGACGTAAAACAAGTGAGCAGTTGAGACTGGGGGAAAAGATTGAAAAAAGACTATTTACGCCCCATTTTCCCCCAGTTTTTAAATATTCAAAAATCTGTATCTCATTGACTTCCAAGTTTTTCGTTAAATATGCTTTTTGTGTCTCAGAAAAATCAGTCAACATATGAAAAAAAATTTCCACTTAACTTTAAAAGGATTAAGTAAAATTTATTACATTTTGTTAATACACAGAACAAAATTAATTTTCACACTGATTTACAGAACAGACTACAAAAAAGAATCCTAAAATCGATAATCAGAAAAGTTGACAACAACGATATAGGAAAGGTATTAATATTTATGTATCCTTCAGTTGGTGAAGAAATGGATTTCACATTACAATTTTCGATTGAAATTTAATAACTTACTTAAACACACAAAGCAAGCAATCTGGATATTGATTTTTTTTCTCCAATTTCTTTAGCACAACATAGACAGATTATATTTAAGTAGAATCCACAAAATGAAAAGGAGCCTAAGGCTGTCATAAGGAACTAGTTCAGGACATTATACCGTCTAGTCCAACTACTAGCACAGTAGCTGACCACTCAAGTGATAATTATGTTTCTATGTCATAGTCAATCAATTTAAAACACTTTCTTTATATTTTATGCACACTTAAAGTTACTTCATTCTTCATATGGCATAAGTTTTCTGATGACAGAAGGTGTTATTGATGAAAATAAATCTTTCTAAGATGGCGCTTAATTATAACAAATCTAGATAGCCTGGCAAAATTGATATTCACCGTGGGTCCAGCCAGTAGGAGTGCAAGCTATTAGGAGTGCAAGATTGTGTATAGTAGGTCTATTTATAACATAATGCAATTATAAGAAATTTGATTTAATCGGTACTATACAAACACTAAGTTGGATTAAATAAATAATGATAATGATGTTATTTTATGAGGAGGAGGTGGAACAGGATATTAAATGGTGATGATAATACAATGATCACGAATGATGATGATATATGATGATAATAATGTTTACATGCAATAATTATATTTGATGACGATGAATAGGCAATAGTGATGATATATGATGAAGATGGCATTAAATGATAATGATGATGGCATGCACTGATATTATACCGTAAAAATAAATACGTCCACTGTAACATCAATCTGTATCATGGAGTGTATTTAACTGACATTAAATCAAACCAAGCTTGGGGGGGTGAGGGCCCCCCAGGCGTTCCCCCCCATTCAAAAACTTCGAAGCAAAAAAAATTAGGCTAGGCTTATGCTTATGCTGCCACGGTTGACGTGTATTCGGGAATCTAAGAAGCAATATTTTCAGTGGGCGTGGCTACAGAAAATAAATTCCATGCCCCCTCATATTTTGGTCGCGCCCCCCACCAGCCCCCCATTTTAATACTGCTAGATACGCCACTGTATATACTGTACTATCTCGAAAAGAACCCTATACTATCTTAAAAAGAAGCCCACAGGCTTCTTTTCAATATGGGTTTATTTTTGAGACTAATTTTGCAAACTAAAGAAGGGGCTTCAATTCAAAATGGGCTTCACCTCGAGATTAAGCCCACTGGGCTTCAATTCATGGTTTTATGGTATGATGATAAGGATTATGCTATGATGATTACCGTGTATATATACGCCGTTGATATACGATGATAATGATGACATAATTAATGAGATATATTATGATTCTGACATGATAATGTCAAGATGACTAAGAGATGATGATGATAATGTAAATGATAATGATATTGTCTCCAGTATAAATAGGTACCTCATATTGCCAATGCCCTAATTACTAGATGCGTCATGGATTCTCCCAAGGGAGCTGAGTATGTTTGACTGGGATAAAAATGTGAAGTACATAAGACTTACTGGACATGATGCGTTATATAAAATCAAAATATTATTAAAGGAATGACATAATACCATAATAGAAACTAAAAGTTGTAAAACGTTGAAGCAATTACAATGCCATGTGATTTGTCAAGCATATATTCTCTCAGGCAGAGTGCGAAAAATGAAAATGTTACAAAAAAAATCAGTCTAACGAGAAAAACAAGACATAGCAAGTTAATTTAGTTTTATGTAAAAATGTAAAATGTGAATATGTTGACTGTTGACCTGGTTATATTAACTGTTCACCGGGTTAGATTAATTATTTGGGATCATTCAGAAAGGTAGAAATAATGATAGTTGAATTTCTACCCATTAAATTACAACAAAAAGATCAAAATTACTTACAGTGTTGAGCCTAACAAAAGTCTGTAGCATTGTGGTAAAGATGCTAGCCTTCACATTTCTGGGTTCAAATCGTGTCAGAACCAGTTTTTTTCTCTCATGACTGAAGAAAAGCACTCACTGTACCTGATCATGTCTACGTGAAATCCTGAAAATATTTTTCCTTACAAGATCTCCAACACTGACTTCACAAATCACTAAACAGCCGAAGTTAGAAGATGAGATCACCAAGGGAAGGACAGGGATTAGCCATGTACTGCGCATGGACAACAACAATGACCAGAATATTGCACTTTCATGGACACCAGAAGGAAAGAGAAGGCAAGGCAGATCAAAAACTACTTGTAGGTGGTCGGTTGTGAGCGAAAGATCATCTTTTGGATGGGGAAGTTGACCAGAAGCGAGACATGCAGCTCAGGACAAAGGAAAGTGGAGAAAAAAGATATCAGCTTTACTACAGAATTCATAAGGAAAGATTTAGGATCCACAATTCATATGCTGTTTACTATATATTTCAACATTTTTTATTTATTAAATTTTATGACACAGATTGAAGCCCAGTGTACAAGCAAATAACCTACCATAATCTTCACACTTTGTAATTTTTGTAATAATTACATTTTCCTCTAATAACAAATACCACATTTGACTTTGAAGGCTCATGGGTATCTCACCATGAAAAAGAAAATGTGCAAACATTTAGGGGAAAGTCCCTTAAAGGCTAGAAGCAAACAGAATTGTCTTTACATAATCACAGGTAACCATCGGAAGCAAAATACTGTACCAATAACTGAGAAATCAGACTATTTCTAAGAAGAGATGTTATATTGTACTTCACAAAAAATATTAGATATTCTGTGAAGTCAGTGTTCTTGATTTTATAATGGTGAGAACATTTGCTGGTAACATGATCAGTTCTATAGGAAGCGATTCAATTTACAACACTAATCTTGTTTGAATCTTATGTGATACTACTTCCTCAATTTGAGAAAAGGTGCAACAGAACACCATCTCTACATTGTCTCACTAGATAGTATTAATCATGCCGTCCCCCAGCATTGTCTCATGTCCATCCCATTTTGTTCACAGTGGCCTGAAACGTGGCTGCCGTGGCCACCGGGAACATAGTGTAAACCTAGCATGAGTTCTGTAGTTCATGCACACAAAAGCCTCCACTGTATTTATCGAATTAAAAACATGCTGGGCTTGGTCATACCTAGATTTAAATATGAATTCGTTTTACTATTTTGCTTTGTGTAATCTTTTCTGTATTGTTGTCTTGGAGTGCCCAATGAATATCTATTAAACTTAACAATAATATACGTATCTATATATAACAATATTATAATAGCCTCAGGGTATGAAAACTATATAAAAGATCTGAGGCTATTAAGAAAGCCACATTCTATTATATTTCATTTATCTCAAGATGTAAATTTAACAACTGTTGTTTTTTTTTTTTACAATCCCTGATGAATCAGCACATTTGAACCGAATGAATTTTAGAACAAATTTAATCGTCACTACTCTTGCGGCTTTAAAACTCACAGATATATCCATGATTTGAGAAGAGTAAGAAAACTAGAGATTTATTTTGGCGGTAGGTTACAGAGATTTGAAAATATTCCGATAATGGTAACAGTATATTGGCTGGGGCTACATTTTCTCTATACAAAATAAAAGTAAGACCGTGTAATCATTAATACTGAATCAATTCTAGTACTGTTGGTAATTTTTACAATTCCTGATGATTCAGCACATTTGAACCAAATGAATTTTATAACACAGAAATTTAATTATCACTACTATTGCGGCTACTAGTAAATTACTCAACAACTGATTCATTTACACCAAGGCATTGTTATTGTTTTCTTTTATTCCACTTCTCTATAGGAGCCTGTGAGTACATTTCTTAGTTGACAATCTGATTTTTTGAAGCAAAAGTAAGACTACTGTTACTCCAGTGGCATAGGGCACTTTGCAGAATCAAGTTTCAGTCTTTTATAATGAACTAATTGTACGTAGAAAATATAGTTTTATCAATCATGTTTACAAAAATATAAATTTTATGAACCACATCTTTACTTATTCATGATCAGGCTCATCCAAGGCTTGGGGAGGGGGGGGGAATTTTTATGGTTTCCAAGCAAACGTCCTTCTGATAAACCAAAACAACCCCTCCCTTTGATTAAAAACGAAAAAAAAAAAATCGGCATTTACATGTCAGAATGCTTTAGCTCCATATTAGAAACCTGACATCGTTCACCTTTTGTGGAAATGGTAAAGTCACAAAATCTTTAGTATACACTTGTTGATTTGTCTTTTGAGCCAAATCTCTCCAGGTCAATTTACTCACATGCCAGTTGGA